TTCATAGCAGCCGCTTCAGCTCTCCTCATAAAAAAACGTGTAAACCAAAAAGTAGCAGCATGTCTGTACAACAGCTAGAAAAGCAGCAGCACAGAGATTCAAGAAACTTACAGCTGTCCTGCCAAGAGCTACTGGTGCTGCATAAAAGGAAGTTCCATGATCCCACTATCTCATTTAATTCTACCTTTACTGGTATCATGGGTAACTCTAAGCAACAGTGCAGTCTGAACTACTGACTCATTCTGCAGAGAAAATAGCTGCAAAAAACCAAACAAAAACTGATGGAACACCTTGAAGAGATTGGGAGGATTAAGAAAGGGGGAATCTTGAGAAGATTTCTTTTCACATAGCAAAAGAAAGGCCTCATCTGTCTTCGTGTAAATCTCATATTTACTGATGCGGAGGAGAGAGTGATTGTCAGGTTGGCTTAGTTATGCTCACAGTCAGTTCTTCTGCACGATACAGAGAGAGGTGTGTGTGTAGGTGGGTGGGTGGGTTTGGAACACAAAATAGGCACCTTTCTTAATGAAGAAATGACCTTAACAGCAGAGGTTAGTTGGATACACTAACCTTTGAACAACTTGCCATGGGTCCAACATTTGAATATTCATCCCACCGCTCTGAAGAGCTTTCAGAAAGATGTGTTGTTTCATCCACAAGATCATGTGCTGGAATTACCGTGTGAAATTCTACTGGCAGTGTAATTTGCAAGATTAGATTACATAGTGACATTGGTCCCTCTTTCTTTAAACTTATGAACAAGTGAGAGTATCATTTTGGTAGTCCTGTCTGTTTTAATTTCCCTTTGCTAGCAGCATTATGAAGGCTCTCTTTGAGAGGTTTATGAAATTCTTTCAAAAGTCATTTCTCTTTCCATCTACATCCTTTCCTCAAAGTTAAGATGCCATATCTAAAATTAAAAATGTTGTCTGGCATATGAGTCTCACAAAAACACATTTTGGAAAGCAAGAGCCAAAAAGGTTCATTTAACTGTGCAGCCACTCAGTCAAAAACAAACACGCACACAAAAAACCCCAAAACCCCAGACTTCTGTTTGTAGAACCCTGTTATAAAGTCTACTGACTGAGTTTTAACATTTTTGACCATAAGATTTCCCTTTTCATTTAAAGGTGAATGGAAATCAATCAATTACTTTATAAGGTAAAATCTTAAATACCAAAAAAAGACAGAAATTTGCAGTTGGCTATTTTTTTATGTATTTTCAATGACTATTATTGGGAGCTTTCTATTTTTTTAAGAAGACAAGCCACGGGTAGTAGGTAAAAGATAAACTAGTGTTTTCCAGTATGGACCTCAAAACCTGTAGCCGTTATGAGCTATTTAGAATAGTATTAATCTGCCCTCCAAAAATGAGAGTGCAAAAAAAAAAAATCCTCTCCTAGGCTTCCAGCTAAGGTGCATCCATACCTCGGGTGTCAAATTATAGGAGGAAAGAAGAAAACAAATGTGGATGGAAGCTAATGCAGTCTTCATAAAATAAACAACTAGATTAGCTGGAAGGCACTACAGAGAGGAAGGCACTGCCATAGATCTTTGGAGAGTGACTTTCTTCCCTAAATGGAGTGTAATGCTCCCTACTAATGGAAGAGTATGTGCTAATGCCTGAAAATCCCCCAAAGGGTGTAAAGCAGGAGGTCCAGATGTCTAACAGTTTGATGTTGGCAAATGAGCAGAATTCAGACAAATTGGGTGCTGTAGTTTTAAGATATCGTTAGCATTGTTTGGAGGGTATTTACACAGTATTTATACAGTGTTTCCTTGCAAATCACACTATTGCTTTATTAAGCCATGGAGTAAGCTAGTCCTTCATAGATTTCATAGTCAAAGATTTAGGTGCACTACAAAAATTACTCAGTGAAATTCTTCAGCCCATGTTATGAGGCAGCTCAGGTAAGATGACTATAACATCATTTTATTATGTAAAAAAAAGAAAAAAAAACCACAACCACCTTTAAATCTTTCCTTTATGCCTCCCTAACTGGGAGCTGGGAAGTATTTGATAAGGTGTTCCATACACAATTGCCATCTAGGCCAAAGGAGAAACTGCCTGTCCCATAAAATTTGGATCCTCCAAAATTCAGTAGCTGTGTATGCCAGCCAAATTGTGGAGCATGTTACACAGGGGTCTGAAGGCTTCTCAGGTGCCCAAGAAGTTAATGAAAAAATTCCCACTGATTTTGATAATTGATGCCCAAGACTCCTGTGGAAAATCCCAGTGAACCTTTATTTCCAAATTCTAGACGGGACCTTCCCCTAGCTTTCATTATAGATTTTGTGAGGCAGGTAGCACATACTAAAGTTAGAAAAGCATGACAAGGGCTGTATAACCATCTTTCCCATTCAGGAAAAAGTGAAATAGGTTTTGAGATTTTATTGTAATGAATTATGTTTGAAGTGTACTACAAGTTATAGGTGCGGAACTAGGACTTGGACCAGTTCCAGCTTGCCAATTGTCATTAGTAATTCTTCTTTATTGGCAGAGTATCACTGTGACAATCTGCATGTCTCTGTTCAAAATACTCCTTACATCTTTGTATGATTACAGAGAGTTTATTAGGAAAATAAGGACACATAGAGAATGGATATTTTTGGAAATGTAAATGCATATATTTAACATAGGCTCTTCTGAACAGGTTCTTGGTAAAGGTGTCCATAACATGAAGCACAGGATAAATTCTCCTATAACATTAAACATATAGTTTTTAAGGGTTCCTTACCACAGGGGCTTTATTCCAGTCTCCTAAAAATGGAATATTCCCTTAGTTTCAGCCAGGCATTCAATTAAATGTATAAATCCTTCCACTGCTGTTTCATCACTACCCGCAAGGCTGAATCAACACCATCAGACATACTGTCTCCTTGCAAGACATGAAGTTCTTAGACAGCAGTTTGCCTTCAAGAGGCATCCCTCTTCAAGTGAAAAGAGGCTGTGAAGAAAACATTGACAGAAAACTTCTTTCTTCCCCTAGAGAACCCAAAATAAAACTGGTGTGCATCACAAGGATACCCTTGGAGCAGCCCAGCATCTGGATCACAAAAGTGGATACTGAAGAGAGCTTGACTTTCAAAACTGTGTAATAGCTAATACTGAATTTATTAATTCAAGATTTAATTCATTAAGCTGTGCTAGTAATTATTTCTCCATCTGGCTTCACACTAGTGTTATTTATGTAACAGCCATCTCTTCACCACTCATATAAATAAAAAAATCTAAATGTAGATCAGTTATTCCAGTAAGATTTTGCTTGGAAGAGATATCCATGTAAATTATGCACTGTTATAATTTTTCTAATTACTGATCTGGATTAATCAAAAGGAAAAAATTATAGTGAAATACAAACTGTTGATGATCCTTTTAATTATTTTATTGTATACAAATGGATATTAGAGTATGTACTGAGGGAGTTACATGTTCAAATCAAGAAGAGAGGTGGAAAAAGCATCATGCATTGAGGCTCATGTTTATGCTCACAGGGCACTACAGATGGCAGGTCCCTGCGGTATCATAATCATCGTCACAGTGCATTCAGAAAGGACTGAATATGAAAAAACAAATACACTACGTATCTCCTAGTTCAGCCGAAGGAAAACAACCGCACGGCAAGAGCAAGTATTCCAAGGAACCCAGTTATTCTGAGATGATACATACCTGGGCTACCATATCAAAAGGCAAGACACTGATGAGGCTTACGGCTTTGTACAACTAACTTGAAATTAAATACTTCCAGCCACTTAAAGATCATTTAACATAAATTTAATGATTAGTTTTAGATGTGGCATTACTTTGTAAAAAACAAAATTGTATTTTGAACTGAAAAACTTTCAGTTACTTTTAGATCTAAAATTTCTTTCCCCTTTTTCGAAATCTCACTGAAAGCTCACCCTTCCCTTCAATATTTTACATGTTTCCAGAGGAGTGCTGGGCAGGTAATGTATGCAAACGAAGCACTCCAAGAAGCACTTTTACCTTTTCACCAGTAGATGCGTAGAGACTGCTTTCTGCTCACAAGTTCTGGCATACGGTTTTCAAAAGATAACTAATCATAAAACTTTACTACCTTTGTCATTAAAAAAAATATAAATTAATAAATACACACTTCCAACTTTCCTAAAAAGCCCCAAACTTTTAACCAAGCTCTGCCCTAGCTACTTTAATGTTACAGATTTGTTTTTCATTTGGCTGGCTGGATTTATCTGTCACCTTTGTATTTTGCTTGCTGAACAAATGGCTTTATCAGCTGCTCCAGCTTATAAGAAAAATGTCATTTTTTTCATAATCTTATGTTCTATTCACATGAAAACATTTTTCAAGCAAGGAAATCTAGTAAAATCTAAAATTAAAAAAATAATAAACTACATCTCCTCTTCTTTCTTTCTTCTATTAAATTACAATTGGCCCTATCTGTATCTATATATTTATCTTTCTATGTAGAGAGAAAATAAAACCAATAAAGTAACAGAGAGAATTTGGTTTTTGAATGTAACTACTGCCCAGTTTTTCCTTTGCATGACTCTGTAGTACTCTGTGTGTTAATCTGATCTTCTGTCTGAAACATCTTCTGCCTGGGAAACCCAGAGATCATTCCTGCCACTAGTACCTGACTTTCAGCCATAGCAGGAGAGAGATGCTTGGATCCAAGGCTTTCAACTTTTCCTCCAACTGGTTCTTTCTGCTGGTCCTGTCATCACCATCCTGCAGCTTCTCTGCCAGTCAGAAAATACTAGCAACAACAGCTTAAAACATGAGATTGTATTTGCTCCCATCTAGCGTCCCACCCAATGTGTGCCTAGCGCCTGGCACACCTCTCACAACATGCTTGCTGCAGCTGCATCTTTAATGCAAAATCTATACAATTCTAACATACATACAATTATAAGCACAGTACAGACAAATACAGCAACTGCAACAGCAAAGAAGATAAAGGGAGAAAATCCTGAATGTTCCAGTCGTCTCTACATTACATCTTATCTTTTCTTACCTTTGTAGTCCACTGGCTTTGCATTCTTTAGAAGTTCCATGCATCTTGTTTCCTCCTTGTGAATCTCCAGCTGAAATCTGCATTCTGGATGGACACCATTCACCTGTGTCAAATTAGCAAACAGGCCAGGGTCTTGAGACACAAATTAAAATGTTTTATGAAGGATGCAACTACTAATAATGAAATGCACGATTGTAACTGGCACTGGTTTTGCCCAAGTATGTGCTAATCATTTCACAGACACAGTCATTGCCTATTTTAGCTTCTCACACATTGACTTTTCAAAACAAAATGTTAAAATAACGCACTAGAGCATTCACTGGCTCCTTCCTGCAGCATTTCAAGGCAAACTGTCATTTACAAGAAAATACTTAACTTTCTACTGCATTCATCAATATTGTTTCCTCCAGAAAAAAACTGAGTTAAACTGAAACAGCAAAGTAAACACATTTGCTTTTTTTGCTTTTGTAGAAAGTTATGAAGCTGAAAGTTTAATATGAATCACAGAATATGAAAATCTATCAAACTGTATTCTCTTTGACATGGTAACTTTTGCTTTTCTTCCCTTTTCCACCACGTATATTTTATCTCCTGAAGGCCCCAGAGTATGACTATTTGACACAAGCAAGTGCTACACAGGAAGAAAACCCCATTCCTTTAAAAATGAAAGCGCTATTGCCTTCACTCATTTATAGCCCTGCCCTCAGTTCCCTGGTTTTCAGAAAGGGTTATTTATGTCCATGGGAAGAGACGGGGATGTAGGTAGTAGTATCGGGGAGGGAAACAAGACACTGTGAAGTTGTACTGAAGTCAGTTGGATTCACAGAGGCAGACAGAGCCTAACAGAAGAACATGCAGAGTCCATAAGAGACTGCGTGGGAGAAATGACTGTAATAGGTGACAAATGGGAAAGTAGGAAACATCGCTGGGGCTGAAGGGACAGTGAGATTTGCTCAAATGAAATAACATCATAATGAAACAAAATGTGAATATGCAGTACTTCAGTCATCCTCGCACTTGTAGTTACCAAGAAAAGGGTAGTCTCTCTCCAAGTTTCTCTCTCTTTTCTCTCTCTTTTTTTAGGAGACATTTAATAACAGAATCTGGTAATAATCTCTGATTCAGGAGACAATATTTCATTTAAATGGCAATACTTAATTAATTAAGCTGTGATCATGGACCCAGAACCTAGGACCCAGACTTAGGGCTGAAAACCTGGTTATTCTGCAGTCTCCTTGTGGGCAAGCCTCTTGCGGAGCTTTTAAAAATACAGCGTAATAGCCATAAGCATAAGAGCAGGAGCTGTTATGAAAACTCACAAAAATCCGCCTCTTCTCCAAATGCCTCATTTCAACATCTACAACAACAGAACCTTACTTCCTTTTCCCCATCTTTTATCTCTATTTACTATTGAAATTGCATGTTTTCAGGGCAGATCTTTTCTTTCTTTTTAAAGTGAATTTGTATAGATCCTTAACATAAATTAGAATTTCTAGCACTTATAATAGAAAATTCAGCATTATACTGAAAATATTGGTGTTTTGTGATGTATTATCTGCTTTCCAGATAGCTCACATGTAAACTAAAGTCCCATGTATACATAATGTTTTTAATTGCATTTTGCTTTCACATAACAGATTTTGAATTTTATTTTTTTTCCAATTGCAAACATTTGGTAACTGAGAGTAGATCTTGGAAAGGCAGGTTTCAGCAAATGGCAATGTTAACTAAATGAGGGGTAAATCAAAGCATCTACTGCAATTAAGAAACCTGCCGAATAAGTGTCTTCTCTCTCATACTTACGAAAGAACTGAAAGTTTCCCTGTATCAGTGATCTAATAGTGAAGGTTACTTTGAGAACATAAATTTCTTAGTACCCAAAAGTAACACATTACTTTTCAAACCTGGGACGCACGCCAAACTGTAATATACTTTTTTCTAATGCATACAACAGTTTAATTCAGATGTATTTCACCAAGCTACAGAGATTTAGGGCTCAAGACTACATGGCACTGACCACATCTCAAAACACATCAAGACCCCAAAATGGATTTTGAGGGCACTCACCACCTTTCAGGGCTGGTGCTCATCCATCTTTCCACCTGCTTTACCAAGTGTAGGTTATCCTTTATAAGCACTGAGCACAGAACCGTGTGCGCTGCGTTGCGCATTGTAAAGGTACACAGTTAGCTGGAAACCCAGCTGAGGAGTCTCTCTGCGTCTTTAGGCTGAACAATTTTTAAGGCATCCAGAATAGCAATTTGACTGGAAAAACATTTCTTCTGACAAACAGCTTACATTTACCTTCAGCATGGTATCCCGACTTTTGGTGGAAATGATCTGTTATTTTGCATTTACAGTAACAAAAAATTGAAAGATTTAGAGGGCTGGTTTTGTTTATTTTTTGTAAATCATGTTTCCAGCAACGTTACAGACTTCTACAAACAGCTGAAGAAACGCTTAAAAATATAGAGATATTAAAAGCAGACGCCCTAAATTTGAAGACTTTAACATTCTGAGTGCTTTGTACGCTGTTATCCAGTTGCATGTATTAAAGAGAAATTATTTATGCAGTAATTTTTCCCCACGTGATGATTGCCAGCGACCCTCCAGACCGCGCCAGGGCAATGCTGTGTGAAAACTCTTCGGAATCTAGTGGTGGCCATCGGCTGCCGGGGAAAGCCGAAACAGCGGGGAACAAGTGACTCGGCGCCAGCCCCCCCA